AAAAAAACGACCTACTTTGTGAGCTCGACCGTTATTACATACATGATGGAAGTAGACCTAAATACCTCTCGCCGGTTAACATTTATTTTAAAATGAAAGATGTGATCAGGCCACATAATGTCAGACATATAAACCCCACACTAGTTAGAGACTACAAATAATATATTTAAAGGGTATTATATGTAAAATATGTTCGATTAATCTCTGACTAGTGAAATGTGTGATTTGCATTATGGACTCTAGTAGCGATGCAAAACACAGAATGTGACTGTGATACATACATGGACATTGCCCTGAAAGGGGTCGGAGCAAGTGCGGTTTACTCCGACCCTCTTGTAGTATTAACACTCCACATTCAAGGACGACCTACCATGGTTCGGAAGGGAGGAAGAGGTCTCAGAGTACCTGACCATCCTAGGTCACAAAGACCTAAATTCCGATTAGGAGAGAAGAGGACTTGGAATGACTCAGCATAGCCTTTGCTGCTCACTCTGAAGTTGGTGAAAAGGTAGACTGTAGCAGACGGTATGATGTCACTATTGGACACTTGCTTTCAAAGAACAAATTCAGACAACATTTAAGACAATGGATGATCATAAAATGAACAATAACTTCAATATACTAATATTCACAAGAGAAAACAATTACAGAAAGTAATAAGGCGAGTATGACATTGCTTCATAATTATTAATACAACCAACCATATTACCACAGTTACAGACAACAATTAAATACTTGAAAAATATAGCACTAGGAGGAGATAGAATTCAAAGTATATTATTAAAAAAATTTATAAACACCTAACAGCTTTGTTTAATCTCTCACTAGAATTAAGCTATATACAAACCGCTTAGAAACACGCAAATGTTCTTAAAGGAAGAAAATCGTCGAATAAACTAGACAATTACAAACTGATTAGCCAGACTAGCTGTACAGGAAAAGTATCAAAGAAACTTATAAGCAGAATACTTCTGGCGTATCTTGATGCAATATCAAAATTATCAGCGATTCAAAATGGCTTCTACAAATCTAGACAACGGATCACTGAATGCGCCTTACTAAAGCAATAATAAACTGTTTTACCAAAATA